TCCTGCAGAACTGCCGTGGTCTGACCCCCAGCCTTTTGGTTAGCAGGCAAGTGCTTGATCACTGCACCACCAGGCTTCCTTACAAAGTCGCTAACCTGCTAAAATTACTCACTTTGTTCATCGTTCTCCCCCATGACGGCTGGGGGTTCTGTTTGTTTTGCTCACCATTGTACCCCCAGATCACATCAGGCTGGTCCCCTGTGCACTGCCTCTCCTGCCCTCTCGTTGGAATTAGAAGTTGCGTAGTCCCACCCCGCAGCCTCTTCCTTCCTTGGCAGACCCCTCTCCCCCTAGCTCCTCTGGTTGAGCAGACAGGCTCTCGGCAGTTCTCTGAAGTGTCCAAGCTGTCTTCAGCTTGACACGTGATTCCCTAGTCTGGATGCTTCTTTCTCCCACTCTTTGCCTGAAGCCCCATGGCCTGAAAGTGGTTCCACGGAGCTTTAGCGGCACCAGCTCCATGCCTCCACCTTTTGGAGCCTTGGTTGTTTACCTCCCTCAGGCCTCTCACCCTTCAGGACTCAGCCAAATGTCACCCACTCCAAGAGACACCCCCCAGTTGTCCCCTCGTCCAAATCAGATCCTCTTGTAGCATTAGCTTAGCCTTTGGAACATTTATTCCAACCTTCAGGTTTTATTTAATCTCTCTCCTTCTCTTAAGCTTCTTGAAGCCAAGAATCATGTTTCTTTTGCTTACTAATGTATCCTGAATACCTCACACAATGCTATTTTGGAAGGAAGTCCTTCACTTAGAATCACTTTTCAATGAAAGTGAGAGTGAGATAGAGAGGGGTCAGGGGAGAGACAAAGAGAGGCCAGGAGAATGAATGAGAATAAGGGATGTGAAAGAAGAAAATGAGGAGTCCCTGCATGGCACAGACAGTTAAGCGTTCAACTACTAAACCCAAAGGTTGGTAGTTCAAACCCACGCAGAGGGGCCTCGGAAGAAAGGCAGGCGACCTGCATCTGAGAGGTCACATCCTTGGAGACTCTGTGGAGCAGTTCTATTCTGCACGTGTGAGGTTGCCTTCAGTTGGAATCAACTCCATAGCAACTGGTTACTGGTTGGTTAAGCAAAAAATGATAGAAAGAAAAGACTTGCAGACCAGTTCCATTCCCCCTCCTTGAAAGGGGAAGAGGAAGGAGTACCCGGCAGGCTGCCCTGCCCTGCCCTACCTCTCACCATCAAGAAAACCAGTCCTGGCAAACTTCACCCTTCTCCCACTGAGTACAAGAGTGAAGTCTTAGAGGTATGAACACCTAGTTGGTTTTAGTTCCCAGCGTCTCAGGGCTCTGGAAGCACAGAGGCTGGAAGGTGATGAACAGGAAGGTGACTAGACACTGGTGTCCCAACTGTACAGGTTTTGAAATTCAGAAGCAAGCCTCTTTGCAACACGGTGTTCTCCCTCAGACTGCGGTTGCAGCAGCTTGGGCTTGAACTCTGGAGTCCTGGGCACTGCCTTACCCAACCTGCTTAACTTTGTGCAAACCACTTGTTCTTGCCGTCTTTGGGTTCTCGGCTGTGAAGTGGGAATCATGATCATGACAGCCGTAACCATAATGTGTCTGTCGCAGGGATCAGAAGAGAGAGTGGGTGTGAAAGCGTTTGGTGGACGGGGAGCACTGTGCACGCTGGAGTTGTAATTATCGTTGTACCTGCACAGGACATTCCAGTCTGGCACGTGGGGATCCGGTGACTGTGCACGTAACAGACGCCAGGCCCTGTGTGAAGTCCTGGGGAGGGGGCCCCATGAGCCATGTGACCATCCTCATGTGGGCAGGAAAGAATTTCCTTCAGAATAAATACTATCTGCCAGCTTGGCTAGCTGGTAATTACGAATGTTTGTTTTGGAGGTGTACTCCACCTACTTGCAAGGAGTTGAACTAGCTGCTGGAAAGATTAAGGCAGGCATTTTTAGATAAGCATTATCACAATGTCCCAATCAACAGCCATGGCTGTGTAGGCTGTGTAAGATCTGCTCTGGGTACAATGCACCTCATCATTTTTATGAGTGTATTTACGACAGAGGGTTGGTCTCAGGTTGTCAGCTGTGTATGTGGTTTACACTCAGTGACTTCAAGTCCAAGATCGAAGGTGAAGCAGCAGTTCTGGTTAACAGACCTTTGAAGTTGTTAAGGATGGCTGTTCTTAAAACTCAAAATCATTTAGAGAAAAAAAAGGGTGGGTTTGCTGGTCTGATAGAGCCTGGTGGAACCACTGAGACTATGGCCCTTAGCTGCCCTTCAGGTCTGGAATTGAACCCATACCTGTGGCTTCCAGCTGAACAAAAGACAGGCATATGAGTTGAACAGTTATCTGAGGTAGACACACTCCTTGGAAAGAACAATCATGGGAGAAAGAAGGGCTGCTTATACACAGGGAGACAGCTCAAGGGGCAGGAGTGCATAGAGGGATGGACACAGGAAAGAGGTAACTATCGGGAGGAAGTGGGAGGGGAACTGTTGCATTGGGGTAAATTGTAGTCAATGTCATGAGACAACGTGTGTGAGAACTGCTGTATGGAAAGTGAATTTGCTCTGTAAACTTTCACTCAAATCACAATAATAATAATAATAATAAATAACGCTTTGAGGATATATAAGCAACCAAGAAAAAGAATGGAGGAAGGACCTGAGGACTGAAACAGACTTCAACCTCATAGTAGTTTTTGCATATGTTGCAAACAGAAAAATCATCCTTCCTGGAACAATCAAACATGAGGACCAAGGCAGGCTTGCAGAGCCTGTAAGACAGCCACCACCAACCCTGCTGCCACCACCTTCATGACACAGTACCTTTGCTGTAGAAGGGAAATAATAAAGAGCAAGAGTGGTTTAACCTGGCCCACCTGTGTTCAGAAGCATACTAATGGGGGTCATGATTAGATTGCCATTGCAGACTCCCCAAAACTGTGTCAAAGCTTGACCCCTCCCTCAGTCAATGGGGTTGCTGTTTGGGTACCGTCAGTAGAGGGTGTTCTTTCATTCTGAGAATGAATATAGAATGGAAAGTAAGTTTGAAAAATCTCTGATTCTGACATTGCAAAAAGCATCGTGAAATTAAAATAGTAAATCAGGATCTTGGCAGAGGTCCTCAACTTCCCTGCTTGCCCTGCAGGTAGGTGAGCCTTGCACCGATCGCTACTCCTACGACCCAGGCCGCGTGGTGCTCTGGCCCCTTCACCACTGTGGACTTGCATTACAAGGACTGAAGCTTCTGGGGCAAAGATAAGATGCACTTGACACCTACATCTGAAAGAACATGTACAGAGTTCAACACATCACTAATGCTAATCTATTTTAGGTCACCTGCCCCTCTCGCCTTTGAAAGAAAACAAAGCTCCTTGGAAAACATGCTGTAATAAGCAGGTTGGCTTCAAACTCCTTTGCTTTTTTTTTTTTTAAATATATATATATCAACATTGGCTAATTGGCTAATACCCAAAGCTACTTTATACAAAGCTTCCTAGGGCATGTGGTTACATTTCCTGAGAAAGGAAGAAAGGGCTGGGATTGGCTTAATTTGACCCACCGTGTGTCCAGAAGTGTAATAACAGGGTCATGGCCAGACCCCCTTTGCAAATGCCTAAAATAGCCACCTCTTCGGACTTTCTCTGTTGCCTGCTCTCCCACTCTATGCGTGACCAAGGCATGTACACAGTGCCACCTCTGGGTGAAGTATGGTACTTCTCAGCTTCCTAGCCCCAAATCAGGGGAAGGGTATGTCCAAATTTGGGGGACAATGAATCCAGTTAAGACTTGAGTTCCCTTAGATGATAAGTGAAACAGTAGCATGGGACAGGCTGCCAGGAGATGCCCAGGCCTCCTGGGAGCATTATCACAACCAAGGACATTAAACTGGAACAGACACTGCTGGGGATTGAGAGACAAGTGTCTCGGCTCAAACAGGGAGGATTTGAGATGAGAAAAGCTATCAATCAAGTGCCAGGAGACAAAGCCCAACTCCTCATATACAGGGAGAGGCCCATGCTGCTTGATGCCCACCGGGAAAGTGCACACAACCGGAATGGGGCTGATGGGGCAGGCGCCTCAGGAGCACAGGTCTGTGCCATCGCCTTCTCAGCACCAGGAAGATCAGGGCTGGACCCAGGGGAACCATGTTTGCAACATAATTTCATCCACTTGTCTGGGAAAAAGAGAATGCGAGGAAACAGTGCAGTGGATCTATCAGGCTGCACTTGGCACATGGAGGGGCTCGGTAAATACTTTTTTGGATAAATGGACTAAGCTGCTGAGAAGGAGGGACTTGTTGCCTAGCAGCAGCCTGCGAAATAAAGTGCCCAGCTCTGAGCTGGCAGCCTTCTCCTGTTCTGACTCCCTAGTGGTCAAGGAGTACTAGTTCCTTCTCCTGGCCTGCCACATGGGACTATAAAGTGAAGGCAGGGAGGCCTCCTGGTATAGGTGGGTACCCCCAGGCAAGTCCTGAAGCCTAGCCTACATGCGCAGCATCATGCTTCCTGTGCCCCGGGCTGGATGCTGAGAGATGGACAGGAAGGGTCAAGCCACTGTTGCCAATGACCGAATACTGTTCTACTGTTCTTAACTCTGTGTGTGTGTGGTGGTGGTGGGGGTTGGTGATGAAACACATTTTCTAGGGGTAATGCTGGGTGGTACGCATTTATTCTGAGTCTGGTCACAGTGAATCTCACACCCCAGACCAGAGTTAGCAAACAGCAATGCATGGCAGGTGGAGGGATGAACGAGGTAACCCTTGGACTGTTGCTGCACAAGACTCCTGTGGGTAGGAAGCACAGTGCCTCAGTGAGCCCACCCAGAGGCACTGAGGACACACTTGCATCTCCAGACGCCAGGGCAGTGCCATCTGGAGCTTCCTAAATGCTGAGCACCCATTTGGGAGCTAAGCTCTATTCCAACGAGTCATTCTGACTGCAGGCTCCTCCAGTCTCAAGCACCTGAGCTGGTGTCAAAGAAGCTTGGGCCTGAGGCTGAAGCACAGAGCAGCCCCACGGGGCCCTGGGGTCTCAGGACCTGCGATCCTTTCTTTGGAGTTTGTGTCCGGCCTGGGACCCCCGCTGGGCAGCTTTCACCAGGCCTTTGAACTGTCCCTGCAGCTTCACCTTCTTCCTATGGGGACAAGAGACAACAGAGGGTCACACTTCACTGAAAATAAGCAGCCCTTCCCACAATGTCAAAAGACCTTTCAGCCTATCGCCAGCAGGGAGGTAGGGGCTGAGGTGCTGCCTGGCAGCAGCACACGGTCCCAGCTTCCACACAGTTCCCTCCTAACTCGGCTGTTCCACTTTGGGCATGATCCCCCAGGAAACAGCCCTCCCTTCCAGGACCTCCGCAAGTGTAGGTACAGAGAGGGTCCAAATTCAAACTGTCCACCACCTGCCCACCTGGAGGTAACTTTTCTTCAGCAGAGCATGCTTTGTGACTGAAGCTTAGAACACCATTTCCTTGTGCTTGTCTAACAGTGTCTCCAAAGCACTCCAGGCTCTGCTCTCACTGGACGTTCACACTCACCCCCTAACAGCCCTAGCTAATTTATGGCCACAGGGTGGAAGCAACTGATTTCCCACTAACAAGGGCTTTCCGGTGGGATACTGCAGAGTCAATTCTGACACACAGCAACTCCAGGGGACAGAGCAGAACTGCCCCATGGTACGCTCTTGGCTGTCGTCGTTACAGAAGCAGATCACCAAGTGGTCTGGCAAAGCTACAGGGGGGACTTGAACTGCTGACCTTTCAGTTAGCAGCCGAGTGCTTAACCATTATACCACCAGGGCTCCAATAAGGGGGGACCAGGAAAGCAAATTACACAAAGATACTAGAAATGAGGACTGGGTGGAGGACAGATTCTGGGAAATGTTGCTGCTGTTGTTAGGTTCTGTCAATTCTGACTCACGGTGACCCTATAGCACAGAGTAGAACCGCCCCAGGGTTTCTTAGGCTATAATCTCTGCAGGAGCAGATAGCTAGGTCTTTTCTCCCACAGACCTGCTGGTAGGTTCAAACTGTTAACCTCTGGGTTAGTAGCCTAATGCTTAACCACTCTGCCACCAGGGCTCCTTGAGAAATGCTTATATGACACAATACCATACTAACCAAGCAGTTCATACATACACATCAACTACATATAGGGCATGTTAAAAATTCAAAATAGAAAAGTAGAAGAGACTTGAGTAATGAGTTGAGAGTTTAATGAGAATGAGGGCCTCCCTTCTGTGTACCCCCTACCCCCAGCCTCCAGTCCCAGCAGAAGAGCACACCTGCGATTGAGCTTGGTTCTGTTGAGGGGGATGTAAGCGTAGGGGTCAAGTCGACCTTTCTTCTTCATGTCACCCTTAGCTTTCTGCTCGTCAAGAGAAACAGAGTCAGCAAGGAGTGTGGGTTCCCTCCACCCTCCCAACCACCCTCAACTTGACAGTCTCATTACCCTCTGCCTTCACTCTGTCCTAGTTGGTGCCAAAAAGCTCCAGAGCCCTGGAAGGCCATTCAACAAAAGTCCCCAACTTCGGGTGCCACTAGACCTCAATGTGCTGCTCCTCCATCCTCCTCAGTCTGGCTCTACCCACAAAGGTGCCTCTTGAGGATGGGGATAGGCCCAGGTGCCCTCACCCTCTCCGATGCGCTGACTGGGTGGCACAGCCTCCTTCTTGCCTTCCCAGTACCATCCAGCACCATGAGACTCCTCTCTCCCACCCTCAGCTCTTACCTTGGCCTTGTACTCAGCCCCAGGTGTAGCTTTCTTGGCCAAAGGGCGATGGATGCCAGAGCCTCCAGCTAGAGGGAGAAGAGAGACCCTGAGTCAGGCAGAGCCCGGCCAGCTTTCTCCTGCAGCCCTGAGACTGAGGAAGGCGATGGCACTTTTCCAAGAGAGTGGCTGGGAAACAGTGGGGAAAGGCAGGAACCTAGCTGTCTCCTACCCACCAAAGACAAAGATCTTCCATGAGTAGGTCAGACAGACTCAAGTTCAACTCCCAGCTCTGCCACTTACCAGCTCCAATTTAGACAAGTCTCTTAACTGTCTGAAGCCTCTTAACCTCAACTATAAAATGAGGCACTTGAGAGTTTTCATAGGCTTTCCTGCCCCTTATATCATCTATGTGTCACACCCATACATGAGAGAGAAAGGCAGGAATTCATCCCACTGTACAGATGTCAAAACTGTGGCTTAGAGAACAGGGTGCTTGCCCAAGGTCATGGTTAGTCATTTCCAGCCTGGACTCTGGTCATGGATGGAATCTCACAATGCTGACACAGGAGGACTCTAGGATGAAGACCTGGAAGCTCATGGTGTGACCAGGCCAACGCCACACAGCTAAGCCAAGCAGGGCAAGCAGTCCCAAGGCAGGCCTCCTGCCCCTCGTCTGGTAGGACTGCTCCCGCACTGCATCACCTCGGAGCAGAAGAGGTGAGCTGGGCCCTGGCTTGTGGGGTGCTAGAGAGAGGCGCTGTGAGCTTCTCCAGCCAGGTCACGATGCTGGGGCTCTGAGAACACACCCCTGGTGGGATCAGGGTGTTCCCATGGGAGTCCCTGGGCCTCCAGGTGCACAGCAAGGGCCTTGCTGCAAGGGCTTGTGGGTAGGGGCCCTGCAGGAGCTGCTCTGGGAGGGAGGAGGGGAGCTGAAGAACACAGGCTTCCTGTAGCACTGAGCAGCTGCTCTGGGGAGGGGGATAGCTGGGGGCCCAGAGACAAATGCATAGGGAACCTCTCAGCCAGGCCCAATCCCAACCCTCCCAATTCCACCCTGAACACAGGCCAAAGTGGCTTCTTCACACTCCACCTGACTCAGGAATGAAGTGCACTGGTGAGGGGCAGAGGGGCAGGCTCAGGGGCTTCCTGGAGGGCTGGGGGTTCCATGTACAAATCTCCTGATCCCCAAGCTTCTCCTCACCCCTCGCCCCCAGCACAGTTGTGGGTGGTGTATCAGCTGAGCTTTGGGGTCCCGACTGAGTGCACCCAGGCCACACAACCTCCGGGTTCCGGCACTCTTCCTGGAACTCCCTGCCTAGTGTAGGCAACAGGGACCAGCACGTCCCAAGACAGAAGACTGGAAGCCTCACCTTGGTACTGAGGGGGCACTTCCAGCTCCTCCTCATCAGCCTCCCGGCGACGCTTAAGCTTCTGGTGTTTTTTCTATAAAGAGTCAAACAGGAAGTTAGTGAACAAGGGTATGTGACCATCCTCATTAATGACAACAGTAAAGGCAGCACTCACCTGCACTGAGGATGACAGGCCCTTGCTAACCTCCCACTTACAGGTGAGGAAATGAAGGCTCAAAGAAGGCAAGCAACTGCCCCAGATCACACAGCTAGGAAGTGCAGAGGGGAGGCTCTAGCCAGGTCCTGACTGTAGAGTAGGTCTTCACTGCTTGGCCTCTTCGCCCTGAACCCACCCTTCACCTCTGCCTGGGCACCCCAATCCTCAGCTTAGCCCCTATCAAAGAAACGAGGTCTCTGGACTCTGAGAGAACACCTTCTCCCAGGTCTTCATCTCACAAACTGCAGCTTCCTCGCCCCCATGAATCAGTCACTCACTGGTCTCCCACTAAATGTCAGGCTTAAGGGACAGAATTCAGTGCCTGTGCCCCAGGAACTCACAGGCAGGTGGGAAACCCCCCAGTCTGGTCAGGCACCACAGGCCCCCATAAATGCTACTGCCTCAGAAGTGACAAGCACAGGGCAATGGGACACATTAATCTGTCGGATCATATCCAATGGGAAGCTGCTGAGCACCTACTATGTGCCAGCTACTGTGTTAGGTGCACCCTAGTCCTCCAGGAATCTTGAGCCTAGTTACCAACAAGCAGACAAGGCAGAGGGGCTGCTGCTCTGAAGTTGCTGTGCAGGGTAGGGAGTCTCACGGGGAGCGTCCCCACTGACCGGCCTACTCTGTGCCATGACACCCTGGAAGTCTACCAACATTTCAGATTCTAGGGGCTCAAGTGCCCCAGGGAATTCAAGGCTGGTGGGCTTCAGGCCTGACTCTGAGAACATTCACTGGTGCAGGGTACAGAGAAGAAGGGGTGCCAGGGAGCAGGGGGCACCCTGGTTCTGTTGGTGGGCACTCAGCAGAATGGGGCTCTGGTTGCATCATGGAGGCAACAGCCAGGTTTGCTCCCGATCACTGGTCTTCCCCTGTGGCTGCCACCCTTCCACCCCAGCACCTGATACTCCCCCAGGAGCGGACAGAGCAGTGGGAGTTAGCAAACTGCCGTGTGAGAGAGCCTCTGGGATCGTGGCAGCAGGTGCTGACTCCCCACAAGCCAATCACTGAGTGTGGCCACCCCGGCACCTTCCTGGTGCCAAAGATGAGTGCCACCTGTTCTGCTTTGCTTGAAGTCGTGTGCCTGGCCTTGGAGGCCATGGTTAGTCCTCCCTGGCCAGAATAAGGATCAGCGAGCTGCTGAGGCACTGCAAAGCCACATAGGAAATGGGAACGAACCAGGAGACTTTGTCCAGAAGAATTTCAGGGAAAATGCAACAATGAAAGTAAGTAACAGCCCATACTCACTTAGCTTCACTAAGTGCCAAGCAGTACATACAAACCAGGATTACAGCCAGGCAGCCTGGGCCAGAGACATGCACAGTATGGCATCACTTAGAAGGGGGCCAGACTCACTATGGCTGAAGGCTGGGCCTCACAGAGGAGCCAGCTTCAGAGCAAAGAATGGCAGAGCTCCCAGTAAGAGCCCCAGTCCCCCACATGAATAGGCTGGTTAAAGGAGTAGCAAGGGTCACAAGACAACTCCACTATTCCTCAAGGACATCCCTCAGACCTCATGCTTCTCTGACTACGGAACTGCAACTTTTATGACTGGTTTCCACCCAGCCCTCCAAACGGTACTATGCACAGTCATAATACTCTAATAGCAAAGTGACTCCTAGGGCTCTGGTGGGAAGATGGGCATGTGGAGAGGGGCAGACATTCACAAATTCAGCGTCAATGAAAACAGTCATTTTAGGGGAAGCTGAGCACATCAGGCAACATGAGGATGCACTTTACATGCCCAACCCCACCAGATCAGCCAGTCATTCCACAAGATGGTCTACTTCTAACCCCCTTATAGATGAGGAACTGAGGTTCTGAAAGATTAGGCTGAAAACAGATGGAACCCAAGAGCTGCATCCTTACCACTAATACTACTGTATCCCCTTTCTAGGCAGCTATCTCCCAAGGGTGAGGCCCAGGAAGACTGGATGGGCAGGGCCCAGTCTGGGAGGACAGGGAGGGAAGAAATGCTCAAGACCCTCCCGAGACGTTGTTCAGTGGGCTTCTGAAGACAAATCTCTGTTGGTGGCTTGGCCCATTTCACCCCAGCTGGTTCAGGCTGGGGCGGCTGAGAGTCCATTCCATCCTGGGCAGCAGTTAAGTGCCAGGTCAAGAGGGTCAACAGTGGCAAGGGGGTAAAATTCTTGGGGTCTGGAGACTGAAGAAATCTTGTGCATCTAACGAGCCCTGTGACTTGGACACAAGCCCTCTCTGGAAAAGGGGCTAATAAAGTTCTTTCCTTCCATGAGGATTAAGTGGGGTAAAGCAGGGGGCCTTCAGCACTGTGCCTGGCACATGGTATGCACTCCTCAAATGGAAGAAAACCCCACCCTATGCAGGAGCCACCCCCTTGGTACACCAGGCCCCCTGTGGTCCTTCTGGACTGCAAAGCACATGTCCTCGGTGGAAAAGGTGCCTTTTCCTTCCTCCAACTGAACAAACTAGCCAACACTAAAGGCTGGTACCAGGTGCTTCAGAGTGATGCCAGCCCCCAATTCCCCAAAGCATCACATATCCTCCTCTCCATGTATGCCAACAACCCCTGCACTGCCCACCATGCACATCCCTGAGGACCCACCAAGCACTCAGGAAGCAGGGCAGATGGACTGGGAATGAGGGAGGGATGTGGGAAATGGTGAGAAGGCAACCAAGGTCCAAGGCCTCCGCCCTCCACTCAGCAGGAATTACTCACACTCTTGACACCCATGTCTTCCATCAGGTCAGTCATCTCTTCATCGTCACCTGGAAGGTGAGGCCAAAAGAAGAGGGGCCTGTGAGCACACTGGGAGCTCTCCAGCCTTCCCAAAGCCTACCCTTTCCCCTGCCTGGTCAGGAGAACTACCGAGATCCATATGTAGGCAGTCTGTCTCCAAAATCCAAGTAACCCCCAGCTGTGCTTGCAAACTTACAGGAAGTCACATCATGGCTAAGAATGTGTGCCTGGGTGTACTGGCCACCTGAAGTGCCTTGGCACTGAGGGCACCGTGAGGGGGCACTGTGAACTCGGACCTGCAGGGTGTGCAGTGGGAACCGAAGAAAAAGGGAAGACAAGTGTTTTCTAGAAGCAGCAGGAAAAAAAAACACCACACTACTATCAAGTCAATTCCAACTCACAGTGACTCCACAGGACAGAGTAGAACTGCCCCACAGGGTTTCCAAGGCCAAAAATCTTTATGGAAGCAGACTGACTCATTTGTCTCCCACAGAGTAGCTGGTGGGTTTGAACTATAAACCTTTTGGTTAGCAACCAAATGCTTTAACCACTGCACTACCAAAGCTCTGAAGAGAGGGAGCAGCAAAAGCTAAATAGGACTCTAAGATGTCACACCTGGTGATTCCTGGACAATCGAGACACAATGAAAACCAGAAGTTGGGAGGGTCTCAGAGTCTGGCTTTCTACCTCTACATGATCTACAGGGTCTCAGGAGAGCTTGCATTTTTTTTTTTTTTTTAAAAAGAAAGCACTAACCTCTAAAATTTATAGAAGATTTATAGAAAACACCTCAACAACAGAAAGGCAAATAATCCAATTTGAAAATGGGCAAAGGACACAAACAGATACTTAACCAAAGAAGGTATTCAGTTGACCAACAAACACATGAAGAAATGTTTGTGGTCATTAGCCATTAGAAAGATGCAAATCAAAACAAGATATCAGCTCACCCAGCAATAGCAGCAATGATCAAAAAACAGAAAACAAATGCTGGCAAGGGTGTGGGGACACTGGAACTCTCATCTACTGCTAGTAGGATTGTAAAATAGTACAACCACCATGGAAAATGGTATGGTACTTCCTTAAAAAGCTGGAATTAGAGATACCATATGATCTAGCACTCTCACTACACGGTATATATCCTAGAAATATAAGAGCTGGGAAATGAATAGATACATGCACATGCACGCTCATCGCAGCACTATTCACAGCAATGAAAAGACAGAAACAACCTAAGTGCCCATCCACGGATGAATGGATAAACAAGCTATGGTACATACACACAAGAGAATACTACCCAAGGTTCAGGAATAAATGACAAATCTCTAGAACATCTCACAACATAGATGAACATGAAGGATATTATGGTGAGTGAAATTAGTCAATCACAAAAGAACAAATATTGTATGAGACCACTATCATAAAAAGTCAAGAAAAGGTTTATGCACAGAAAGAAACATTCTTTGAGGAATGGGAGGGAGAGGAAGGGAAAATCACTAACCAGATAGTAGACATGTATTAACTTGGGTGAAGGAAAAAGCAGTACACACTAAGGAGGAGGTGAGCACATGACCAAGGCAAAGAAGACAGTGGGAGGTACATGAAAGTAAAAGGCAACACAAGGAAATACGACCCCATCCATACCCAATCCTGCATAACAGAAAGAACAAACAGTAACTTACAGGTGGGTCATAGATAGTCATGTAAGCTGAACAGGTGTGGCATGGCTTCTGGAGTGCACTCACAACCACACAGAGGATATTTCTACGTGGGTATTTGTATGTGCTGCAAATACAGCCAGGTAAATAGTAGAGCACAGAGGGGGAAAAGTTACACAAACTTTTTGAGGGACTGAGTCACTAGGCTCTAGGGCTTAGGACCACAGTCTTGGGGGACATCGAAGTCAACTGGTATAACACAGTCTATGATGTTCTACACATCCTATTCTGGTGAGTAATGACTTGGATCTTAAAAGCTTATGAGCAACCACCTAAGAAACAACTATTGGTCTCTTCCCATCTAGAGCAAAGAAGAGTGAAGAAAATCAAAGACTCAAGGAGACAATTAGTCCAAAGGACTAACAAACCACATGAACCACCCCTCAAAAAAAACCCCAAACCTATTGCCAACAAGTTGATTCTGACTCACAGCAATCCCCACTGGGTTTCCAAGGCTGTAAATCTTTACGGAAGTAGATTGCCTCATCTTTCTCCTGCAGAGCAGCAGGGTTTGAACAGCAGACCTTCTGATTAGCAGCCAGATGATTAGATGCCTTACCCCCTATGCCACCAGAGATCCTTACGTGAACCACAGCCTCAACTAACCCAAGACCAGAAGAACTAGAAGGTGCCAGCTACCACTACCAACTGCTCTGATCAAGACACAATAGAAGATCCTGGACAGAGTGGGAGAAAATTCAAAATCATAAAAAAGATCAGACTTACTGGTCTGACAGACACTGGTACAACCTCTGAGACTATGGGCCTTAGACACCCTTCAAACCTCAAACTGAACTCACTCCTGGAGATCACCTTTCAGCCAAACAACAGGCAGGCCTATAAAGTGAACAATAACACCCATGAGGAGGATTCTTCTTAGAACCATCAACCGTATGAGACAAAAGGGCAGCACTGCCCAAAAACAAAGCACAGAAGGCAGGAGAGAGAGGAAGGATGGCGAATGGAAATGGGACCCCAAGGAGGAAGTGGGAAGGGTGTGTTACGCTGAGAAGACTGCAACTAATGTCACGAAACAAAATGTGTAAAAATTGTTGAATGGGAATCAGATTTGCTCTGTAAGCTCTCACCTAAACCACAATAAAATGTTCAAAACAAAAGGAAAGAACAGAATACAGAATAACAGCGTACATCGCATGGAAGGAGAAGTGCTGTTCTGTGAATGTCTTGCTTGAATGATATATGTATTGTGTAAATGGCTGGGTTGCAACATAAGAAATTTCTTAGTGTGGTCAAAAAGGTTTGAGAAACTCTAAGTTTGAGAAAGTCACCTTAGGTAGAAACTCCTTATGACTATTTTCACACCTTTGCTTCCCCAATGAATGGTCACTGAGAAAATGACTGAGTCAACGAATGAACGAGTGAATGAATGAATGAGTGCAGGCTTGGCCCAGGCTGGAAGCAGCGAGGTCCCAGGGCAGACAGGCAGTCCCACCTTTAGTGCCTTCCTCTTCCTCCATCTGGTCTCCATCGTCCCTGATGATCAGCCGGCCATCAGCGCTCACTTTGAAGCCGTGGTCCTTCCTCTTGACCCGGCTTGGCCCGGGCTGGGTGGCTGGTGTGGCAGAGGGTAGGGTGAGGAGGTGGAGGCCCACCCAGCCCACTTACCCTCATCATGACCAACCAGCCCTAGTCTGTGACCCGGAACAACAATGCACAGTGTGAGAGGTGGGGGTACCCACTGGACTGCCATGGAAGCCCCTCAACTGCTTCCCCCAAGGACCAGGTGCAAGTTAAGCATGTTCTTGTAGCTAATGGGCTGGTGCTTCATGCTTACCTAGGACTCGCTGGGCCACCTTGGGGTCCAGGAAGTTGAGGGGCTCGTCCCCACCACCCTCCTTCAGCCACGCCCTGCTCCTCTGTCGAGCCAGCTTCCGCTGCTCCTTGCCTCGGCTCCTTTCCTGCTTCTCATCACCCTCCTCATCCTCTGAGTCAGCCAGAATCTCCTCGATGCTGAAGACAGAGTGACCCGAGTGAGCACACTCCCTGGATGGGGAGGGGCAGCTGGGCACTGGTACCCATGCCCTCTGCCATGGGGCTCACCTGTCGCCTTTGCCCTGCACGGGTTCCTCCTCTTCTTCCTCCTCCTCCTCCACAGCAGCCTGCTTCAGGGTACGCTGCCTCTTGGCCCGGGCCTCAGCTTTCCGGATGTTTACCAGGACTTTGTGGTACTCCTCAGGCAGTAGGCCCTTCACTAGCTCAAATCTGAGGGTAGCAAAGAAGGTGGGTGAGGGGCACTGGCCACAGAGCACTATCCAGAAGCAGGAGGTCACAGGGAAGGGCCATGGTCACCCAGCCTGGACCCTTCTCGACAGGGTCCTGCTGAGACTGAAAACCCTTTCACTCCTCCCCATTCAGAGCACAGACCCAAACTTGCGGATGAACTTGGTGAACAGGTTCCGAAGCTTCATGCGGAAGTGCCGCCTCATGTCGTCTGAAAGCTTCCCGATGGCTTCCATCTGCCGGGCAGAGCACAGGTCTGAGATGCGAGCCTCCCCCTGCCCGCCCCCCCCAGTGCTGTCCCGGCCAAGGCTGGAGCAATAGGGCTCAGCTACCAGCTGAGATGGCCCTGCTCCTGGCCCAGCCCTTGGTGTAATCACACTTCCATAATCTGTGCCGCACCCTATCTTTCCCCTAAACCCTCTTTCATGACACAAGCGCTGACCACCCCAACCAGATCACAGCTTCAGAATTCTTTGAAGAATCTTTATAATCACATTGGATCCTTAGAACAACCCAGTGAGGTGGATGCCATTCTCATCCCTGAAGTACAGATGAGGAAACAGAGGCATAGAGGGCAAGTGGCTGCTATGTGAGCACAGTGACAGAGGCAGGAGTCTAGGCCAGGAACCCCCAGGTTCCTCTTCCTCAGCTCCATGCTTCCCTTCTATGAGCTGCTCTAGAACCTTCATCTTGCCTGGGTTGGGTCACATGGGCAACAGCCACCCATCTGCAGATCCTGTTACCTGCAGTATCTCTCAGTAGGTCTGGGGGCGATAGGGCTGTTCCATCCTACGGGATCGGATCCCTTGAAGGGCTTTTTATAAATTCTGCTATCTCCTACTGCCTATTATGACTCTGGTCATTCTCCCCATCTCTGGTTCCCAATTAGCCTTCAGCCTCTAAAGAGTAGGGGCAGAATATCCCAACCCTCGTCTACCCCTTCCTGCCATGACACAAACCAAATCAAAAACCAAACCCACTGCCATCAAGTCAATTCCAACTCATAGCAACCACCACTGGGTTTCTGAGATGGTAAATCTCTACAGAAGTAGATTGCCCCATCTTCCTTCCATGGAATGGTTGTTGGGTTTGAACAGCCAACCTTCTGGTTAGCGGTCAAATGCCCTTAGGCACTGTGCCGCCAGAGCTCCTTGCCATGACCCAGGGCCAGCCTCAAACAAGATAGGTGAGAGGGACCTGGAGGTCTGATGGGATCCAAGCCAGCTGGAACTAGGACACTGAAGGTTTGGAGGACAGCCCCAGCTTGCTGCAAGCCTGATGCCCCTGGGTGAGGTTCCTCTTAGGTGGGAAGGTGCATGGACTTCCAACCAAAAGGCTCTTCTAACCTTTCTGCAGCCCAGGCAGGGAGCGTTCAGAGGAGCCTCCTCAAACCAGGAAGGTCAAAAGGCAAGATTGGGGTATGGGGGGGGGGGGGAAGGCTGGGGCCCTGCAGAGAGTTAGAGCCCTAACCTTGGGTTTTGGTCTCAACACTGCTGCTGCCCAGCAGTGACCTCGGAGCTTCCTGTCTGTGCGGGCCTCTATACCCCATCTGCAGAAGGAAAGGTGGTCCTGCTCACTGGTTCTTGGTTCCCTGGAAGGGATGTGTGGGTGGTGAGAAGCAGCCTGGGCACTGCACCCCACCTCACATTTCCAGGTCCCATTCCAGGGCTCCCGCACCACCTTCTAGTGCACAAAGTAGGTTGCTGCTAAAAAGCTGAAGATATTTGGGACTCACTGGGTTGAAAGCTGGCAGTCAGGAGGCCACTTGGCCACTGAGGGGAAGGAGCACTCACCACCAACTGCACATGCTTGGCCAGGTGTGCCACATCCATGACAACCACCGCCACCTTGATGAAGCCCAGCGCAGATTTGACAACATCACGGGTGCGGGAAGCCAGGAGCAGGCACACGTTCTTCAGCAGCTGCTCCACCATGCTGGTCCCCATCAGGCCTACGGGGTAAGGAAGCCACTGTCAGAGCCAGCACCAGACCAAGACCTTCTTCTTGGGGAAGCAAAAGCTGCCATTTGTCCCTGCCAGGCCTAACAGCAGGAACTGAAGTCTGATGACTTCTCACGCGACCAGGACAGTTCTCAGCACTTCCCACGGACCAGCTCCTTTTGTCCTTCAACCACCCTATGAAGTAGGCGCTATTCTTCTCCCCCATTTTTCAGATAAGAAATTGATGTTCCAAGAGGTTAAGAAAACGTTGCATTTACACAGATAATTTGTACATTTCAAGAAAAAGATATTTGGCTCAGTGTCTTACGTGGTTGGTAAGAGGCAGAACCAAGACTAAAATCCAGGCTTTCACTTTGGTTAGTCTATGCTCTTAATCACTTCCCGATGTAGCACTCAGGGCAGCTAACCTGCATGGCTGCTTCCTGGAGCAGGGCTGAGGAGGCGCCTCAGCCCAGCCAGAAGAGGTAGGAAGGCAGAGACTGTGGGAAGCAGGTGGCCTTGGTTCCCTCCTGTGGTCTGTCCCGCCACCCCCACCCTCACCCCTGTTCTGACTTTTGAGCAGTTTCCCACTCTGAAGGTTTCTCAGGCCTTCAAGGAAGGAAGCATTTACCTTTAAACTCGAAAAGGAGGTGGGTCAGGGCCAAGATGCTGCAGCTGACCATGGTCACAGCGCCCACGAGGCCAGGGTAGATCAGGACAAGGTAGCGCTGCAGGGCCTCTGGGGGGCAGAGACCAGCACCAAGTCACACCAGGACAGAGCTCACCCACACATGCCTTCCTGGGCCCTTCGGGGAGGGGATCGTGGGCCAGAAGGAGCAGCCTTCCCACGTCCAGGACCAGGGAGTTTGCTTCACTTTCTCTCTTAGACCATGAACAGGGTGTCCTCCCCCAGCCCATCACCTGGGCCTCACCTTCCTGATTTGAGCCAAACCGAAGGAAAGCGTGGCCCATCTCCACCAGCAGGGCAAAGGCGTTCTTCCGAGCCCCCACTGACACCTCCTTGGTACACAGGATCACCTGACCCAGACAGCCCTGTAAACACGCCTTCCCGGATCCCACCCACCCGTGTTTGCTGCCTGGGGCAAGGGGGCAGGTAAGGGCACCCACATTCCAGGACAGAGAATTGAGCCCCTCCCCACTCCCAGTCCTGCCCTCAGGAGCCATACTCCAGGGAAACCCCCCAAAACACACACCTAGCCCCTCTTGCACTGCTCACCTCTGGAACAAGAGCTGCAATGAACTCCTCATGCTCCACTGAGAGTCTCTTCACAATGTGTATGAGGCACTTCAAACGAGGCTTCAGGGCAGGGAACAATAGTCAGGACCCCTTCATGCCAGGCCCCCGACAAGCAGCCCCTTCCTGGCGTCACCCACCCTACCCAGGAAGCAGAATGTGTGCAGCCCCACCCTCTTGGCCGGCGAGGATGTGCTCCGCAGCGAGTCCAGCAGGGTTTTCTTGAGGTCGTCCAGGTGGCTCTGCACGAAGTGGGCCCCAGGGCCCTGGGGGCTGGCACACACCTCCTCCAACACGCGGTAGGCCTTCTTTTGTACCCCATGCACCTTGCTCTAAGAGGGAGCACGGAGGTCAGGGGTGGGGAAGGAAGGGGCAGGAACTATACCACCCACCCCGACCCCATTCAGTAATATTTATAGAAATATGCTCAGAGCATCCACTGTGACTGTGGCCAGCCCAGAGGGACCTCAGAGAACAAACCAGCCCTGCACTTCTGGAGCCCATGAGTCTGATGAGGCCAAAAGAACATGGACACGGAGATGAACTCCATGCCATGAGCTGGGGACACTGTAGTTAGTGAGCCCAACACAGTCTCCAGTCATTTCACTCACCCACCTCCAAACAGCACACGCCTAGGCCTGGAATGCACAAGGCCTTTGCCACCTCCTCATCTTTGTAACCAGAGCATTCTTCTTGCTCCTCCTTTGCCTAGCTTCTTGCTGTTTCAGTGTAGCTGTTACCCCCACACAACATTCTTGCCCTAGACTTGGGGTCCACCTGCATGGTGCTTCCAGAGCGCTTTTCACAGTGCCTGGTAACAGCTTACTAGTCAGCCTCAGGGGCAAGGGCTTTCGGGAGGTCCGGCTGTGTTGAGCTGACACAGTGGTTGGCAGCAGTGAGCAGGGCAAGCATTTCAAGCAGAGGGCCTAGCACGTGGAAAGGCACCAAGGGACCTGTTTCATCTGAGACTCTTAAAAGCAGCCTATTGTGACAGGAATGGTGGTAGGAGGGCAGAAGGACGAAGATCAGGCCAGTTTGGGATGGGCCTAGTGCAGGAGCCTGGCCTCAGTTCTGTAACAGAAGCCTTAGCAGGTGAGGCCTGAGCTTAGCTGTGTGGTTTAGTCACTCTGGTACCAATGTGACAGACAGCCCAGGTCGGTGTAAGGGGAAGCCACTCCAGGAGAAAGCAGACAAGTACCTAGTCTGGGGCAGCAGCAGCAGAGAATGAAGAAGGCAAGCCCCACCTTCCCAGGGAGCCCCTCTTCCCCCAGGGGTGGTTGTAGGGACTCCGGGTACCCAGCTCACTTCTAGGTAGGGCCGGATGGTGGAGTACAGCTTGCTGATGGCAGCCTCGTCAGCATGAGGAGCCAAGGCCACGACCAGGTCCAGGACAGACAACCTGCTCAGGGACAGGAGACGATGAGGGAGCTGTGGGGGGCTGGAGAAGGGCACAAACTATCAGAGATCTCCAGTCTTCTGGGAAAGGCCGTTCAAAGTCAGGGTGAGGAGGACAAGAGGCCCCTCAGGCGTCCGTGAACAATAATCCCAGCTGGCACCTTAGTGAACACTCACAATGTACCAGGCACTGTTCAAGGTGCTTTACACGTGTTACTTCAATTTTCACTGCAACCCTATGAGCCAGGTCCTGCCATCATGCTCATTTTACAGATGAGGACACAGACGCACAGTGGGTAAGTAACTTGTCCACGGTCATATAGCTATTAAGTGGTAGACTGGGATTTGAACCTGGGTGGCATGCCTCCAGGATCCTCACTCTTCCCCAGCAGGCTTTTCTCTCCAGGAGAAAGAAATCAGTCAGGTTTCATGTAGAGCTGGGACATTCAATATCTCAAGACTTTCCCAAATAATTTCAGAAAGAAGCCACAGGGCTTCTGCCAGGCATACCTCCAGCCCCTGGGGTTACCCCAGCTCAAGTGAGGATACTCCAAGCATGTTACCTGGTGAAGTCAGAGCTGGCAGCGTCGAGCACCTTCTCACTGGCTTTTTCCATGAAACCATTCACCAACTGGCAGCCCCAAGGGAATGAAAATGAGGGGGTTGTTGGGGAAGATATACACAGAGCAGCAGCAGCAACAGCAGCAGCAACAGGTTCCTGAATTGTCCCACTCTTCCCTGCCACTGATGTTTAGAAGCCTCCAGCCCAGCCCAAGTGACCCTCAGTGGGAAGGGTCGCAGCCTTTCCAACATGCCCAACCCACACTTGCCTGAAAGCATTCCTCTACCCCTCCACCAGCTCACCTGAGGCTCAGTTATGGTGAGGTAAGTTTTGATGGTTTCCAGCACAGCTCGGCGAGGGGCTGGGGTGTCCGCAGCGGCAACAGGCTGTCCATACAGGTTAAAGAGGATTGGCAGGAAGTTCTTGGCAAAGCGGCTCACTTCGGCGCGGTCGGCCTCTGGCAAGAGAACCAAAGTTTACATGAAAGTGACAGGACTTGTCCCCCCAAAGGCCGCTGGACTGCAGTCTGCGAGCAACTTTTTTGGGGACCCTGTGGCAGGACCTGGAAGCCTTGGCGTTAGTTTTTCCAGTGAGAGGAGAGGTTCAGGCCAGGGCACAGAGAACAAAGTGCCACAGTGGTCAATGCTCCTCCATGGCTCCTGTCCCCAGGGCAGCAGAGTGCCAGCCATACAATAAAGCCTTCAACATAACTGAGTAAATCCACAGTCACTGTCACCACACTGGGCACAAAGACAAGAACCGGGACAATTTTCAGCCCTCTGATAACTAACTCCTTGGGTCTTTGCAAAAGATGAGCACATGAGGCTACTTTCTTTGGCTTTGGAGGCCAAAGGTGGCGGGGGATAGGGACACCCGCGTCATCCCAGTTACCTGTCCTCTCACCCCCGAGCCCACACATACCCGCCTCACAGCCCTTGGTGATGAGGGTACGCAGGGCTTGGCACACCGTGACCCTCAAGTCTGGACGCTCACTGATGGCTGTGCCCAATGTCCGTGCCAACCCTTTGAAGGAGATGGCCACGTCCGTGGGCCTTGTGCAGAACCCAGGCAGGAGGGTCCAAATCTGGGGAGGAAAGTGGTAGTCAAAGAGGACAGTGACACCCAGAACCCCATGCCCTGACTACCCTCTTAGCCCCCCACGCTGCCCCCACCTCGCCCCATACCTGCCACTGGAGTGTATCGTAGATCTTGGACTCCACTGTCCTGCCCTCCTGGGCCAGCTCCATTGCTGGAGTGTGACACAAGGACACAGAGTGACCCAGGGCACCCTCTTGGCCAATGGGATCATTTTCACCAAAACCAAAAAGGGGTAAATGAGGGTGGGATTACTGGTGATCTCCCCCTCCCATAAATGAGAATGTAATACTCATCCATTTTAAGACACAAAAATGGACCTCTACCCAACAGGAAGTGAAGACCGCTCCACAATCTTCCTCTCCTAGAGACGGCTACCGTCCCTTCTGACTTCTATATCTCAACACATGCACACTTCTGAAGACTTAAGTGGATACTGTTTTGTAACCGTGTTTTCCTTGATAAATAACTAGAAGTTGGTTAACGTTTATTGAGCAGTTTTTACTCAAAACTGTGTGACTTGCCCTTCCTACCCATTATTTCATTCCTCAGGACGTTGTAATTTTTGACCTCAATTTATAGTGGGACAGAGAAGTTAAGTAATTTGCCAAAAGTCACCACATCATGCAGTGGCTGAGCTGGGAATCTGAATCCAATCTGCTCGCTCCGCTCGCTCCTTGCCCCCCCCCCCCCCCCCCCCCAACGGTTTCTTTCTTTCTTTATAATGACTCTATCATATCCTACCATGGGGCTCTTTACTCACTTAACCAGTACCTACTGAGGGACATCACGTAGGTGGTCTCAGAATTTGTTAAAATAAACCACACTGCTATGAACATCTTTGTGCACCTGCGGACTTGTGTGTATCTGTATTTCCTTAGGCCAGAAATCTACAAGCAGTACTGCCAACACAAAGTGAGGGCTTACCATTAACCTTAGGAAATTGCCAGTGCACACAGGTAATATGTTAATGACCCACTTTTGGGGTTCATCTGTATTTTCTTTGATGGGCAGGCACATACTTCTTTTGTAAACAGAAAATGATTTTGTGTTTTAAATGCCAGAAAACAAAAATATGTTATACACACACACACACACATATATATGTATATATACATGCATTTAAAATATATATATAATATATATTTATATATTACGTGATACATATAGGAGCTCTGGTAGCATAGTGTCTAAGGCACTTGACTGCTAACCAGAAGGCTGGCAGTTCAAACCCACTAGCCATTCCTCAGAAGGAAGGTTTGGGCAATCTACCTCCGTAGTGATACTGCCGGAAACCCAAAGAGGGGTTGCTATAAGTCGGGGCCGACTCGACAGCAAACAACAACAACAACATGATACATATAATAACATGTAAATAAGATTCTAATCTGGCACATATAGAATTCCAATTTGGTAAAAAAAACAATACTATTTTCATATACAGGAAAAAATGCATTAAAAATTCTGGTAATAATCTCTGGGTAGGGGAAGTGAGTAGTTTTAATACTTTCTTTTGCAAATGCTTCCTGTGTATTTTACAAATACATGCATAGTCTACAGAATAACATTTGAAATAAGAAAGGCTCCATGACATGGTGGGCTAGAAGATTGTCATGGGGGTATTCCATGCATTGTAGGCTGCTTAGCACCATCCCTGGCCTCTACCCACCAGGGGCCAGTAGCATCCTCCTGAGCTGCGACCACCAGGTATTGCCAAATGTCCCCTAGGGGGCAAAGTCATCCCCTTGTTGGGAATCACTGCCCTAGACCAGGGTTTGGCAAGTTTTCTGTCAAGGGTCTATATTTTACGCTTTATAGGCCATATGGATTCTGTTGCATCTACTCACTTCTGTCATTGTAAGGTGAAATAGCCACAATCAATATACAAAATAAGTGTGGCTGTGTTGCAATAAAACTTTATTTACAAACATTACCCTCAATGGAGAGAGACTGAAACCATTCCTCTTGAGAACAGGAACTAGACAAGGATGCC